TGTGCGTATGTATTCAATTAAAAATTGAGTATCCCACTAGAACTTGAAGGGAGACCTCCCTATGTGAGGAATAAAAAGTACTCCCCTTAACCTGATTTCTGAGCAATAAGAGAGACTTGTCGGTTTTGTACTCCTTTATTACTCGTTTAGGAGTCAAATAAGAGATCTCCTAGGCGAGCGACGAAATATTGCTCCCTGAGGCATGATTTGGGAGCATTAAACGAGATTTTCCGGTTTTTTTACTCCTATATTGTTCGCTTAGGAGAGTAATGGGATATATTCTAAGCGAACAGTTAAGTTCTGAATGAACTCCCTGATTGCTCCTTTAGGAGGTAAAAGGGATTACTCGCCCTCCTAGGACATACAATGTTAAAGGGAGTATACAAAATTACATGCTTATACACAGAAGCATAGGGAGTAATGGGGAGTATTCGTATACTCCCAAGGGAGTACTCACCGAGCAATCGTACGATGCCCCCAAGTTCTACTGGGATTGTACAAGACTCACCCATTACATCGCTGTAGTATCGAATGTGTGTTACAATCTGACCCCAGGTTGCTTTTATAATGGGCACTCGTTCATTGTGAAAGCGATTGCAAGTTTTGACGGCAAAGAAAATGTTCTGCGGCTGTACGGTCATCTGCAGAAATACAATTATACTGCATACATATGTATGTTTATGCGTTTGTTATTTTATAGTTAAAATTCATGTATTTAATACATGATATGGTGTTTATGCAGGCATTTTTGACTACGTTTCATTACATTACATGAAATTACAAACGCGCAAACGTAGTAAGTATTAGTTAATTTGTTGTGCTAAAAAATTTCGCGGCACCCCTACTCTTCAAATGTCTACCAAAACAAAAAAACACAATGCAAACTTTATGCTCCTTTTAGCTTTTACGTGAGGACTGAAATTGTTTTGATGATTTGATTATTTCCTTTAAGTTTATTGGGAGCTTTGACAATTTTACCCTGAAATTATTTGACGCTGACTTCACAAAAAGGAGAAGGTTATCAATTCGTCAGAATATTTTTTTATTAATATTTATTTATTTTTTTATGTATGTTACCGCATAACTTTGGACCACGTTAACCGATTACTATAATTCTTTTTTTTACAGGAAAGGTGTTCACACGCACACAGTGCCGCCTAAGTGAGCAAAAATCGAAAAATTCGCTATCTGCAATGTGAACTTGTTTGGTATTTTTGTAAAGACAATTTATCCACTAAAAATAATTAAACAGACATTTCCTTAAACAATTTATTATATGCCGCCAGGAAGCCACTAAATTCGACAAATTTTATACTAAGAATTTTAATAAGAGCATAACCATGCGTAAGCTCTTCACAGAAAAAATTTTCAAAAATATATCCTTTGAAATAAAATGTTGATTTGACGTTTCTTGTTTCCATATAGATAGTAGAGAATAACAAGAATGAAAATTTTGGAATTGGGGGTGTCCCTGAGGTATTCCAGAAAAACAATTTTTCTAAACAAAATTTCAAAAAATGCTAAATTTTAATGGAATAAATAAAAAATATATGTAAGAATAGGTTATTTTTTATTATTTTATTAAATAGTACGGGCTTTTAGCTTTCAAAAGAAGAAATAAAAACCTGCTCATTTTTTGCACTTTCTGAAGTAATGCATTTTTCGTTAATGCATAAAATTATTTTTTCATTTTTTGTCAGTGTCTTGAGATCTGCACGATTCGTTCCATTTTCCAAAATGAAGTGTCAGATTAAAAAGCTTGACCTGTGGACAATAGAAGGTTTATTTTTTTTAAAGAGTTGCCACCTGTTAAAAAATTAGATTGTTAAAAAATTAGATTCAAATTTTTTTATAAGTTAAGTGAATTATTAAGAGATGGGTATCAATCGAAATGTGTATTATCTACATGCTACCTGTTTAAAAAATCAAATTCCACTTGAATTAATTAATTAGGTAATTGAAATAGATAGGTATCACCATAAGGGAGTCAGACGAAAGAGGTTTAAGAAGGTTTTAGCATAAAAATATTACGAATAGGGCTTCCACCTGTTTGTAAAGTCGAATTTAGTGAAACTAAAATAATAATTACGTCAAACCATAGGTTTACGCCATCGTAATTGTTATTTTATAGCAAAATTTTATTTTATAACAAATACATACATTGTCAATCAGTGATTACATTCCTTTTACATTACTGGACTCTTAAATTAACTCAGGAATGTTTTTACTCTTCACTTATTTCTTTCTAAATATGTCAAAATTTTTCATTTTTCTGATACTCATATTGATATACATATTTCAATTACCTTATTCCCTTAATTAAAGTGAATTTGATATTTTAAACATGTGGGAACCCTTCTACGTGTCGTTTAGAAGTAAAGTGTTTTCAAAACTAGTTCAATTCATACCCATATTGCAATATCTAATTCATTTGACTTATTAAATAATTTTAATAAAATTTGTAACAGGTGGCAACCCTTTTCAAAAATAAAAATAAAACTTTATTGCACCTCTACAGGCCAAGCCTTGTCATTTAACACCTCAGGTTTGAAAATAGAACGAACTATATGTACATACCTATGTAAAAGCCACAAGAACCCAAATTTTCAACTTCAAACTGCATTTACAGTGAAATTATGAAAGTTATCGAAAAACAAATTGCAGTTCTGAATTTAGCGTGCACAATTTTACTAAGAAGCGAATTTTCCTTTTAATCCGTCCATAATTCTATTTTTGCTCACATTTTATATGGAAGGGAAGCACTGTGAGGCGGTCCCATTCTAATTTCGTTTAAATCCGAACATTGGATTATGAAGAGATAACCGATAATCTTAAATTTGTATATGAGAATTGAAGTCGGTTTTGCTTTTTGCTTAAACATTATTTGGTTATGTAAGCATTTGTTGAAAATGCAGTCTCATATAGAAATGTAAAAGTAAAAGTCACTAGTATTTTTAATAATTCATAGCCAATTTCACGGAAGCAATTCAAGTGAAAAATGATTTTAAATTTTGGAATTTTATATGGAAATTGACAGAAAATAAAAAAAATCATTTTCCTTTCAAATTGCTGGTGAAACCGGCTGTTATCAATTTTCTTGGCGTTAACTTCGAAGTTACATACGTTTTTCTGATTTACTTTGTTTACTTATGGGGTTTTCATTCAAATTGCTAGAAATTCTAAAATATACATGTCACCAATAAAAAAAATCTCGACGTCCTAAAAAAAATGTAAAAGATGCATTTTAATTATCTCCGCAGCGTCATCCAATACTGGTTTTAAATCTAGTGACGGCATCTTCCTAGTCACCAAGGAATACCGACGGATCATACAGTGACTTCTCATGGCGTTTTCTGCCTCTTGCTTCATCCTAGATATCGCTCCTTTCGTTTTTCCAAATACTGCAAATATCCGCACACTTGCTCCATTTCAAACCATTTTTCTGTACAAATTTGTCGATAGCTTCAAAAATTTCGTCACTAGTGGTGTAAGTCTCAAGTACTTCACTCATCAAAAGTTCTTCTTCGATTTGCATTCCGAATGGGTACCTCACTAACACGAGAAACATTAAGTCCCACTACGTCGGTACCAAGGCGAATTTATACAAGGTGGTGTTGTATGATCAGCTGTGATTTCTGCGCCTTACATGTATTTTGTTTTTGCTTTTACTGATTTGACAACACACTCATCAAATGCAAAAACAAAACACGAATTGAGATTTGACATAACACCCGCAATATAAAATACATGTGGTTGTTGATGTTGTAATCTAAATTCGCCAGTAACACTACCTTGTATAAATTCGCCTTGGTCGGTACTTTCGGCAAGTTGCAAAGAAAAAAATTCACAAGTTTTCAAACTTTTTATAAGTTCGTTCTCGACTGCCTCTAAAATCGTGTTAATTCGCTCTTTCACAGTGTGATTGTGAAGTTCCAAAGAATAAGTAACATATACAAGTGCGCGAAGCCGCTGCGCTTCTCACGAGAACATCCCAGCCAGCTAAAAATCCGAAAATTAATCCAAAAACGGGAAGAAAAGTGGATGAAATGAGGATTAGCTCTACGAAAGTACCGAAAATGGTTGTGAAAAGGGTACGTTTTTAGGAATTTTTCTGAAAATTTTCTGATACAATTTTTCGTTGACAAAACGTACTGGGGAACTACATACATATGCTTAAGAGCGAAATGAGCTGCTGAAGGTAATTTTAATAAAAATCAAAATTGTTTGATTTTCTGGCCGCCATGTTGAAGTTTGATCAAACCGTTGCATTGTGTATGGAAAGTTTAAAGAATTTGCCCGCACCACTAGTATACTCTAGCCATTAGCGGCACCCCAGGCATACGCTTGCCGTGGCACCCACTTTGGGAAGGCCTGTTCTAAGCCATCACGAATCAATATGACTAGTCGCCACTGGCTACGATATTATAGCATAATTGAGAATCTACTATTGCACCGCGGCGAAATTCGAACTAAATGGGATGTATGTACGTATGTAATTTTGGATTTTCCTTTTATAACCATCTTATATGTACATATGTATGTATGTACAGCGTGGCGACGAATAACTGTTACCCTGGTTTTTTAGAGAAATAATAGGGTCCTTTATAGATTTTGCGAAAAAAGTACATATTATTAATTTTCCACAGATTCTACTTTAGTTGTGTTATTTAGTTTTTAAATTTTAATCCCTATTTACATTTGCCAGCAGTGTAAACTTTGAAAGAAAAGTTTATTTGGCACGCAGATATTCGTCAATTAGTCAAATCTGTGGAAAATTAACAATAAAATACTTTTTTCGTAAAATCTATAAAGGACCCTTTTATTTCTCAAAAAAATCTGGGTAAAAGTTTTCGTCGCCACGCTGTATATTATGGTGCTCATCTATTTTTTTTTTGAGATTTCAAAATCCTACCCCCTAATTTCCGTTCTTTTTATGAGAAATATTGCCTATTTTTATAGATTTTTCAAAACTCATTTAGAGGTCGCGACCTATCATTTTAGGTCAGAAAGTACGGTTTTGTAGATTTAACAGTTTTTGAATGACTAGTTTTCATTCAATTTTAAAGATCGAACAAGTTGTGAGAAGAGGCCTTTAAAATGGTGTATAATAAAATATTGTCAGACTTGAATTGATGGGAGTTTTCATCGGGCATTTTAATTTTCAATAAACCTCATTTGTTGCAATCGTATAAAAATTGTCGAAGTTAGGGACTTCTCTTAAACCGCCCACTTAAATGATATATGCATATACGGTTGCTAGGTGTGCTGATTTTATCAGTACAGTACTGATTTTTCAACTCTTGTACTGATTTTATTTATTTTTCAATCGGTACGCTAATGTCCTGATTCTTCAGAATTTTTACTGATTTGTACTAATTTTTAATTCAAACAGAATACTTTAAGATTTTCTTAAGGTTTTTACATAACTTTGGAGCTTCCTTAAACTGTACTGTAGAAAGTAAGAAGAAAATGATTTAATTATAATAATTTAATACAACAAAAACATCAACCGTTTTACGGGCATATTGTCGGGTCGTTACGAACCAGTTGCGATAATATGATGGAGCTTAAATTATTCAAAAAGAAGGCTGACTTTGTTTGTCGTGTGTTGTTAGTTATCTCGAAAATAACTTTCAGTTTA